GACAGTCTAAATTGACTATAATGGTCTCCTCACATTCTCCAGAGATATGTTTTAATAACCCACAATACATATTTTATCCCATCTATGTATCTATGCTGAGGTTTTTATAAATTAGGCACAGTAAGAAACTAAGAGCAGTAACTGAAAAAAATTATAACATAATGTAATATGTAACTTATTATACTGTAGTGCACCTCTTGTGTTTCTCTCTTTCAGAGTATCACACTGTACTATATTTACCCCTCTTCTTGTGACAATGTGAGATGGTACAAAGCCAGTGTAAGGAGAGGAGGTGAAGGCATGGCATGTGTTCTAGGTGGAGTACAGTGTTGTGTTATCATATTTCTTCACACTACTGTAAATGGTACTTATTTGAAACTCAAGATGTGTCTATTTCTAGAAGTTTTCTTTGCATATTTTTGGATCCTAGCTAATGATGAGTGACTACTACCTCAGAAATGTAGGCAGGGAGGAGACTACTACATATCTGTTCGTCTCTTACAGTGTCCAGGCACTGATTAATCCCAGGGGTTCCTTCTATGCCTGCTGTGTCAACACAGGCTAGTCTTTTTATATTTTCCAAGTTCCATTTCAAGATTGGATGCCAACCTCAACAGCACTGCAGGAGCTGTCCATCTGATGCTTCCAGCTGTTCCCAGCAAACCAGTGGTTCCTAGCCAGACTCCAGTTTGCTCTAATTCTGGTAATATCAGACTTCAGATGTGCTACATTGGGGGAAACTACTGAGTAACTATGCGCGTCAAATTCTTCTTTACAGAACAGGATTGGTGGTGATAATGTTATACATAGCGGTAGTTAATTCTCCATAATCACATTCATTGAATGTATGGATGGTTATTTTGTTAGATTTCAGAATGCTGCAAGGAGCCTAGAAGACGACTATTCATTTAATCTATATGTTTGAGGAAGACAAAAGCTATTTAACTTACTTTCTGTCCTTAGTACCCATCAGCCAAATAGAAATCCACATTTATATGAATTCATTACGAGAACGGCAGGAGGAGAGATGGGGCCGAATCAAGGGTTGCTCATGAGAGGATGGCAGAGATCTGACACAGGCAGGAGCAACTTGGAAAGGGTGGGCTTCCAGCCAAGCCTTGTACCTGGCAGTAATCGGCAATGTTTATGTCACATGTGTGACAGATTCTAACGTGCAGACACTACGATATGGATTGTACATGTAAGTTGTACTCTGTGTTGTTTCTCATAGAACAGGTTTTGCCCCTGAACCATCTTCCATAAAGATTTGCCTGGTGTAGCCTAGCACAGAAATGTCATTGTGTTTGAAGTCAATAATTTTCATAGTGAGCCTATTTTTTTTTCATTAAGACAGTTTGTGATAGTCATAGTCACAGTCACTTACAAATACTAGATGAGTCATGGACATTAAATTAAATACTAAAAGCTTATTCTAGTAACTCAATGGAAAATAAGCAGTCTACTTGGTATGAGACAAAGCACACAATCCATATTAGTTCCAAGAGAGGAAAAAAAAAACAGGTCTTGAAGGCAGGCAATTTGGGATTATATTCTGTTCCCATCTCTGCCATAGCCTTTTGTGCACCAAATAATGCTGGGTTTCCCTGGAGGGCAGATGTAACCATGGACTCAGTGCTCCCTAGGTCTTCCTGTTGTTATGAATTAAGTACTCTTTGCTTGTAACACTCTAGTTACAAGCAGACTCCATCATATTTTAGAGCCAGGAAGGAGTCTGACAGAAGCTTTTCATGTAGAAGAGAAAGACAGGTCCGAATTCCGTTTTCCAAAGCACAGCACATACACCATAAGAGGCTAAGGCATTTGCTGTAAAGGAGTGAACTCTGGCTCACTCTTCCTCTGTGGCACACTCTCTGCTAAGGCTTACTGGGCCATTTTGACTGGATGAACTTTCTAGTTTAGAACACATGATGGAAACAGAGTGGAGAGGGAAAAGGAGCCAGCATCAGGTACCCAAAGACAGGCCTTTCAATTCTAGGGATACCACGTTGCGTTTCACCTTTTGCTTTCTTCAGATTGAGCAAAGAATGACTCAGGGAGACAGGTCAGATCAGTGCGGATCTGGGCCAATCTTGCTTCTTATTGGAAAGAAAAAGTACACATTAAGAATATGGAAGCAGGCCATTTCCTTATTCAAAAAATATGCTTTTGGGGTCAGAAACAGTCAACGCACTGAGTAGTCTGACAACTGTACTGATGGTATCACTGTGATGAGTGACAACGATAACAGAACCAACTCCAATTAGGTATCTACGAAGCACCAAAGATTTCTGCTTGTTTTGCTTGAGTCAAGGTCTCATGAATCTTAGGCTGTTTTTTAATTTAAAGTATAGTTGAGAAGGAGCTTGAACTTCTCATCCTCCTGCCTCCACTTCCTAAGCGCTGGGATTGCCAAGAATGTGTAACTGCACTCAGTTCATGCAGTGTTGAGGGTTCAAGCCAATGCCTCAAGAACACTAGGCAAGCATTCTACCAACTGAGCTACATTGTCTCCCCACAGGAACCAAAGATTTAATGGGCATTTTCTTATGTAGAAAATGAAATTTGGGCTGGACATGGTGTCACATGCTTTTAATCTCAGCACTAGGAGGCAAAGGCCAGGCTGTGTATACAGAAAGTTCCAGGACAGCCAGGGCTACACAGAGAGACCTTGTCTCAAAGACAATGAAAAAGAAAATAAGGAAAATATAATTTGGGAGAAGAAGAGGAGGAGGAGAAGGAGGAGGAGGAGGAGGAGGAGGAGGAGGAGGAGGAAGAGGAGGAGGAGGAGGAGGAGGAAGAAGAGGAAGAAGTTGTTGTTGTTCACTGGGTGTGGTGGTGTATGTCTGTAATCCCATTACTCAGGGAGACAGAGGCAGACAGATGGATGTGAGTTTGAAGCCAGCCTGGTCTACAAAGCAAGTCCAGGACAGCCAAGGCTACACAGAGAAACCCTGTCTTGAAAAACAAAAAACAAAACAAACAAACAAGCAAACTAGTTTAAGAATTAGTGATTTAAAGCTGGGTGTGATAGTGCCCACCTATAATCCCAGCACTCTGAGAGGCAGAGGTAGGTGAAGCTCTGTGAGTTTAAGGCTAGCCTGGTCTAAAAAGTGAGTCCAGGACAGCCAAGGCTACACAGAGAATTCCTGTCTCAAAAACTCACAAAAGAAAAAAGGAAATTAGTGATTTGAGATAGAAACTGTGAAAAGGAGGGAAATATGAATTTTTTTAGTGCAGAAATGCTATTATAAGCTAATCTGGATAAAGAGAATATGGAAGGCTCAGTGTTGACTCAGGTGGTGGCCACCTGAGCCACCTTGTGTCCTTAAGTCACACTCATGTCACCTGCCTCTCTCCTAACAGAATGACATAAGGGAAACATCATCATTATTATTGTTATTGTTATTATTTGATTTTTCAAGTCAGGGTTTCTCTGTGTAGCCTTGGCTGTCCTGGATTCACTTTGTACACCAGGCTGGTGGCTTTGAACTCACAGAAATCTGCCTGCTTCTGCCTCCCCAAGTGCTAGGATTACAGCCGTGCACCAACCGCACACAGCTACAACATTATTTTCGTAAAGTTATGGGTGCTGAAGTTTTATATTTGCCATTTTTTACCGAGGGTGCCACTTCCTGTTAGGGACTGTAACTGAATCTCTTAATGCCTGAGAACCTCAGCCTTCTCATGTGTACAATGCTGGAGTTTTTAAATGTGAAGGTTAATTATAATACATGAAAAGTTCTTGGAAAAATTCCACTGTACTCTAGGCTTCTGGACCAGAGTAGGAGAGAGAGACAGAGAGATAGCGAGACAGAGAGACAGAGACAGAGACAGAGAGGAGGAGGAGGAAGAATCATTTAATACATTTACTATATTTCATTGACACTATTGTCTAAGACCTGGCTCAGTGTCCTTCAGCAAATGGTAAAGCTGAGTGCATTTTTCTCTAGATTACATGCTTCAGATGTTTATTTCCCGAGCCTCGCTAATTAAAAAAAAATCACAACTGTTCTAATTAGGTCCTTGCCATTTCTTCCTAACAACTGCAAAGGGGCTGAAATACCCATGCTGAAGGGCAAGTCGATGTGACGCTAAAGGTGACCCTAATGCAAATATTCTTTTGAACAATGAGTCGCAAGCAGACTAAGTTCGGTTCCTGGGACAAATGGGGGAATCTGGAACTCCTTTTCCAAAGTGCAGGGTCTGTGGGAGCATATAGGAAATGAAGCTAACTAGCAAGGCCATCCAATTTAACACATTCGGTGGCATTTGGAGTGGTGGTGGTGGGGAAAATGACTCTCTTGCTAATTTCACACTTCCTCTATACATTTCAAAAAACGAGGTGTGACTGGATTTTTAAAAAGACATTCATCAGGCTAAATGCCAGCCAGGTACACTTGCAAGATCCTGGCTTTAAGGAGTGTTCCGTCTTCTGGCGCCTGCTTGCTACTGGGTTTCCATCTCTGATCATTTAAAGCAGGGCATAGTTCTGCACATCAAGAGTCTCAGCTTACTGGAACTGTAGGTTTGCCCTTCAATGAGTAGGATGGGTAGTGATTCTTCAAAACCTTGGGCAGTTAACCGAAGTGGAGGGATAGAAAGGAGTGAGGGTCCAACAGAGTGCCTGCATTTGACACAGGAGAGAGTCAAAGTTCAGAGGGCTCGCAGTATTTCAACCCCATGCTCCTTCTCCAGCATCACACCACATACTCTGAAACACCTCTTCAATGTGAGTGGGGGAGTCGTCCTGGCCCAAAGGCCCCAGGGAGCCTCTCCTTGCTGCAAATGCCCAGGTTTGTTTTCTTTGGCTCCCCCATTAATGAGTTCCACAGGACAATGCTAAGCCTGGTTATGCAGCCTTAATTGGTTTAGTTACAACAAGATAATTCCTTTTTTCTTCTCTTGGAGGCCGGTCTGTTTAAAGACATTTTAGCTGGAAGATGCTAATTATCGACGAGGAGAAAGTGACACCTGAGGAGTTCATCTTCCATCTTGGTCCTTGGTTCTTCCTTTGAACTCCCTTCCCCAGGGGCCCCTTTCCCACTTTGTCCCCGATCCCCCACCATCATAAAAGAAAGCTGATCTCTGGCCAGGGCAGCAGAACTTTCTTTCACATTTGCCAAGGAGTCCTTCTACCGCTGCCTCTGAGGGTATGGACAACCTGGGTGAGACCTTCCTCAGCCTGGACGATGGTCTGGACTCTTCTGACACAGCAGGCCTGCTGGCCTCCTGGGACTGGAAAAGCAGAGCCAGGCCCCTGGAGCTGAGCCAGGCATCCCCTGCTCAGAGCCTCTCCCCAGTTCCTTCCCTGGAGTCGTACTCTGAGGTCGCACTGCCCTGCGGGCACAGTGGGGCCAATACAGGAGGCAGCGATGGCTACAGCAGCCATGGGGCTGGTGGCTTAGTCGAGCTGGATTACAGCATGTTAGCTTTCCAACCGGCCTACCTACAAGCTGCTGGTGGTCTCAAAGGCCAGAAGGGCAGCAAAGTCAAGATGTCCGTCCAGCGGAGACGCAAGGCCAGCGAGAGAGAGAAACTCAGGATGCGGACCTTGGCAGATGCTCTCCACACGCTCCGGAATTACCTGCCACCTGTCTACAGCCAGAGAGGCCAGCCGCTCACCAAGATCCAGACACTCAAGTACACCATCAAGTACATCGGGGAGCTCACGGACCTCCTCAACAGCGGGAGAGAGCCCAGGCCCCAGAGTGTGTGACCTCTGCCCCTTGGAGAATCCCACCGGTTCCAGACCTAGGGCCAGGCATAGAGGAGTTTTGAAGACCCTGAACCTGTCTTCCAGGACAATAGCACAGTTATCTGTGGACACTTAGTGTGCCAATCCTGTGACCTGCTAAGTCGAAAGGGCCTTCATCTGACCTGTTGGAGCTGCCAGGACATTCACCTGCTGCCAGGCAAGCAGGACACTTCCGGATAGTCTCATCACGTCTCCAGTGACTCAGCATTTGCAAAGAGACAATTTTTTCTGTCCTGTCTTTTTAAGGTATTTTTTAAAGGGTCAATATAGTTCAAATACACTCTTTTTTTGATCATGTTCAGTACCTACAATTATATTTTCTTACCATTTTGGTGTTGGGAGTTTTCTTTCTGTTGGGTCGGAACTTGTATTTTGTACGGGATCCAGTGTGACCTTTGAATGCTTACTTAGAAAGATTGTGCCAAGTAAAGAGTTAGTGCTTTCCCAGTTCTCTTTTCTTTCTCCCTCCCTCTCCCTCTCTCTCCCTCTCTAACTCCCCACCATGTGCATATGCGTGTGTGTGTGTGTGTGTGTGTGTGTGTGTGTGTGTGTGTGTGTGTTTGAATGCTTGAAAGCATGTCTTTACTTTTGTTAGGAGTAAAATTATTTCGGTGCAGAAAGGATTTGTATCCTAATAAATAGGAAGTAGCAAGCAGGCAGGCTTGGCTGTGTGAAGATAATGAAGATCCTACGACCAGGAAACTTACAGTTTCCTCTGTAATCACAGGAAAGAAGGAAGGACTGGGCATGGACTACCGTGTCCTGGGGAATGGGAGAAAGGCAGAAGGGAGGAAGGATCCCAGCACCACAGGGTGGCCAGAAGCAGATCTTAGAGAGCAGGAGCTCTTAGTCCCAGGCCTGGTGTGAATGAGATATCATTACTTCACATACTCATTTCTGAAATGAAGAGTTTGGCTTAGAAACAAAGTCAACTTGAACTCCGCAGAAAGTAAGTGCAAAAGCCAGGAATTAGAACTCATAGCTTCCTCTGACCTCTCTAAAGGAATTCACTTCCTCTAAAAGATCTAGCTGCCCCCACCAACTTACCTCCCTCCATCTCATATCCTCCCCTGCTACCTCACATGTCACTGTTCACAGCCACATACTCTCTCCTAGGTGCTTGTCCCACTGGGTATCTGAAGTGGCCCCACTTTGGTTAACCTGAATACACAGGGCATCATTATCAAAGGGGCTTCAATTTAAGGAGGCTCTTTTCTGAGATTGCCTTTTCCTTGCTGTGGTTATTAACCATCAGAGTTTGTCTCCAGGGACTCCCTAGTCTTCATGTTTCCTGTTCATTCCCCCCCCCCCCCCCCACTTTGGTCTTTTTCTTCTTTTTAATTACATACATTATGAAAACAGTAACTGTGTTCACAGCCTCATGTACAACTTTTTTTTTTTTTTGTAACTCCAATTTTTCTTCGTTGATGCAAATGTACACAAATAGAAATGGTCACTTGTATGCTTTGGAAATCATCTTTAATTCTGTACATTCTGATTTTGGCCTAGTGATCTAAGTTTGCAAAAATATGTGTGTGACATAAGTATCACTATTATTTTGATTTTAGAGATGAGAAAACTGAGGCATAGCTGGCTCAGTCCAACAATGCTCCCCAGCACGGGTTCTGCATAATTTCCTAAATGGAGCACCTTCTGAATGATATTTAAAGTTTTTGGGGGGTTATTTCATCATCAAAAATATGCTTTGACAAAAAGAGACAAAAGCTTTGTACACTGCTAATTTTAAAACTGGCCTTAGAATTACTTAGGAAGAGGATTCCTAGGTCAGAATGTGAGGACATCTTATGTTTTAATAAACATTATTTGATCCCTTTCATAAAAACTTGTAGTTATTTATATTCCCACAAATATCACATGCTAAATTCATGGTCCCACATAATCTCTGGCTAGAAACCACTTCAAAAATTGGTAATAGGAAAATATAGTGACATAGTTTTTGCGGTAACTTAAATTTATTCATTTATTGCTTAAGATGGAGTGTCTCTATGATCTTATGAGACTACTATTCACTTGGTTCCTTTTCTGTAATGTGGTCCTTTATGTTCTTTGCAGTTTTTCAGTTGATTATCTTCTTGTTAATTTGAGAAAGTACATTACATGGAGAAAATCCTTACAGTTTTTTTTTTTAAACATCTGCTTTTATGTTCTCTTATATTTTTGGTTTTGATTATGTTATATCTTGTTCTTTAAGAGTTTTAATTTTTGTATGAGCAAATCTTTTTGTTGTTGCTGTTGTTTTATGGCTGATTTGATTTTTTCCCCATTTGCTCCTAGTTCTAAAAGGTTCAAATTTCTTTTTAAAACATTTTTTTATTGTTGCATTTTTAACTATTAGGTCTTTAATGCAACTGAAATTAATTTTTCTATATATTGTGCCTAGGAAGAACTTAACTTCACTTCTGGACTAGTATTTTCTTTTATAACTGAAGACCTGTCTGTCTTCTTTTCAAGGGGCAGTGGGTGCTGGGGTCTGGTGATTAAAATGCTATTTATGTGAATCTTCATCACCTTTTTACATATCAATTTTTGGTGTTTAGTGAAGAAACTAGATTTTTTTTCCCTTATGAGACTGTGCCTTCTAAACATGTTCATGTGAGATAGTGTGTGCACACATGTGTTTGTGTGTGGGCTTGTATGCATGTACCACATGCTGGAGAAGAATAAAGTGCAGAGTAATGTGGGCTTGGAGAGAACCAGCTGGTCTCAGAACCAACCTTGAGAGCAAATACTGTTTTTCTTGCTGGCTTAAAAAAGCGAGAACCAAGTGCCCCTGACTTTTGAGTTTGGAAGTTCAATATTAAGAATAATTTGGGAAATTTTGGTTGTCCCAGGGTTCAGGTATTGCAAATGAATTACAAAGTCCCTGCTTCCCCCTCCCCTCGTTTTTATTTCCCAAAGTTCCCTCAAGGGGCTGGGGGCATGGCCCAGTCAGTGAAGTGCCTGGCATGCAAACTTAGGGACTTGAGTTTGGATCTCAAGCGTCTACACAAAACAACAAAAGAAAAGAAAGAAAGAAACAGACACAAACAAACAAACAAACAAACAAAAACTTGTGTGATAGTGCAAGTTTGTAAGCCCAGTTCTGGGGAAGTAAAGATAGAAGGATCCTGCAGTTTTCAGCTAAACTGGTTAAGCATCAGGGCTGAATAGGTGAGCTCTGGGATTTTGTGAGAGAATCTATCTAATAAGATACAGGGGAAGTTGAGGAAGACGCCCGACATTTACCTCTCATGTCATACACATGTGCACACACATGCATGCATACCTGCACACATCAATGTGTAGGTACACATTATACACACACACTTCTGAGAGACAGAAAGAGAGACAGAGAGAGAGAGACCCGCAAAGCTAGACTTCCACCTGTTAAGTTGGGCCTGTGCTCAAGAACTTCTACTACGGGAAGAAGCCTCTGAAAAGCCAGGGGATGTCAGGCTTTTTGGAAGGTCACCTGTGGTCTTGTGTTTTGCCCTCACTTGGCCCAGGCTGTGCTGGCTTGCAGCACAATTCCGTTCTGAAGAGGCAAAGGTCTGGGGACATTTGATCCTGCAACAGGCCTCCCCTGAGAAGCTGCCTCCCTTGTAGGGAACAGAACTGGAGCAGGCCCCGACCCCTCTGGGGAGTGGCAAAAAGTATTTGGCTCTGGTAAAGCTTCAGAACAGGGATAAGCTATTTCTGGTGTTTGGAGACGGAAAGGATTGTGGAAACACTATCCACATGTCTGGCTATGGGCCATGTTTCCGAACTGACTCTTTTACATGGTTCTCCAAACAGCCGTGGAAGTGGACATTGAGTTTCCTGCTTTGAGAGCATGGAAACTGAGGTTTAGGATGGATAAGCACTGCAAAGCCCCTTGGGTAGCTAGCAGCACACTTCATGCTTGGCTCATGGCTCAGCTCTCCAGAGCTCAGAGCTCTTGGCCTGCTGTCATACTGCCTTCCTTCCCAGCTTGCTGTATGAGCTCAGCTTGGCTCTGAGAGGGTTCTCAGCAAAGTCTCAAGTCCCTTTGCTTCCCCTCCTCTGGGACCCTCATCTCTCTCACCACATGAAGCATTTCATCTGAATTATCTCTCTTTGAACTTCTACCCCTCTCCTTTAAGGTTTCCGCAGAATTTCCTTTGCCAGCACTTTGAGTCTTAATCGAAAGATGAAATCTGCCATCTGTTCACTTGTGTTCAATAAAGTGTTCCACAAGCCCCAAGAGCCCAGGGTCCTCTGTTCTGCTTGCAATCCTTATGCTGGAACCCAACAGCAGAGAAGCCAAAGCAGGGTGTGAGTGTACGGGTTGCTGAGGTGGGGGTTGGGGGTGAAATGAGATGGGGAGTGGGGAGCTTGCAAATTGGTAAGTTGGCAGAATTACTCTTGTGTTAAGACATCTTTATAAAAATAATAGCAAGGGCTGAAGATATAACTTAATGATGAAGATGCAAACAATCCCCAATCACCTAGACAAGGAAAGGAGACACATGCAAATACGATTGTGCCCGAGAGCTTACTGCAAGAGCTTTGCACACAAACTCCACATCTCTGGAAGTAGATGGGGATTTCTGCCAGGCTTCGGCCTTGACCCCTTCTGGGGCTCAGCTCATGATGGCTTCAAAGGAACCAAAGTCTAGCTACCTTCACTCCTTCCCATCTCCCCTCTCCTTCTTCCCTCTCCTCTTTCTTTCTTTTTTTTTTCCCCTCCCACATGGCTGCTGGAAACCTGAGAAGGTGGCTGACAGGCCAACGAAATACAGACACTAAAGAGCACCTGTGTCCCTACCATGGAGGATTTGATCTTGATATTTTACTCCCAGATAAAACCTTGAATCCAAGGAAGAAGAAAGCATAAAGACTTGTGGGCTGGCTAGGGCAGAGGTGTGTGGACAGTTATTTGCCTCCTGGTGTGGAAAGATAAAGAGCAGGAGCCCTTCTCTATCCCAGTTTGGAAGATGCTCTTTAAATGACTTTAATAAAGAAATATATAAATAAAATTAAATTTAAAAAATGACTTTAGTGGCCCAGGTCTTTACAGGCTTTTCCCTCATCGCACAAGCCCATCCCCATTCTCAGGGGTGTTTTCCCATTCTTAATAAACTGTATTCCTATTTGTAACCAGGTGTCCCCGGTCTAATTCTTTGCTGTGGAACACAAGGAGCTGGGAACTACAGCAGGTCTCAGGACTCAGATCTGTGCTTCTGGCACTGGATATGGAGGTTGCTGACCTTCTCTCCTGACAATCATGGTCTTCACATGAACTCTACTGACTTCTATTTCTTTTCATTAAGCTGACTGGACAGACTTGACCTGATAGGAGGAGGGGCCAGAGACTTTGTACAAGAAATGTGTTTTGAAAGTACTGAATGGGTTATTCTATTCTAGTCTAAGAGAACAGTGTAGATCTATTATCTGAGGTGTCAGGTTCACTGTTCACTAGATCCTTTATTGGATCTTTCATCTCTACAGTTAGCATTAGGAAGCAGTTACCCACAACCCAAGAAACCTTGCCAAAAGGCACATAGCTGAAGCAGAGCCAAGTTCCATCCGGGTCTGTGACCCATTTTCTCATTGATACTAAGTATATGTAGCCAAACTATGTAGCAGTGAACAAAACCAGTGTAGAATGATTGTGGCATTCATCTTTCCTGGGCTATGCCTTCACTTGGTGAAACTTTTGAGTTGGTGCCCAAACTTATTACAGCATATTTTACTTTGTTATTATTTTATGTGTGTGTCTGTGTGTTTATGTGTGTGCCCCCATGTGTGTGTACATGGATACACACATTTGTGTCTGTGTGAGGTCAAAGGAGGATGTCAGATGTCCTGTTCTATCATCCTCTACCTTTTTCCTTTGAGGCAGGGTCTCTTACTGAATTTGCACCTAGGCTCATGGCCAATGAAGTGTCTTTTCTTCTCTATGGACCTTGCTGGGGATACAGGCATATGTCCTGGCTAGTTTCATGTCAATTTAAGTTAGAGTTAACTCTAAGAAGGAAAACTCAATTGAGAAAACACCTCTATAAGATCCAGCTGTAGGGCATTTTCTTAATTAGGGAGGGTCCAGCCCATTGTGGGTGGTACCATCCCTGTTCTGGTAGTCCTGGATTCTATAAGAAAGGAGGTTGCTCAACCATGGGGAGCAAGCCAGTAAGCACACCTTTATGGCCCCTGCTTCAGTTCTTGCCTCTGGGTTCCTGCCCTGTCTGAGTTCCTGTCTTTACTACTTTTGATGGTTGAACTATTATATGGAACTGTAAGTGAAATAAGTATTTTCCTCCCCAGGTTACTTTTGG